ACTTCATTGTTTCCTTCTGGTAAATGCTTTGAACTTCCAGCAGCAAGTGGCAAATGAATTGATGCAAAATGATACTACTTCATATTTTGTATTATCTTTTTAAGACTAGTCTTGACTGATTTATTTTGTACATATCTGTGTTAAAATTTATGCATTAATACGAGTTTTTTTTTCCAAAAACTTTTATACTCTATTAACTGATTTACTGCTACAGTTGACTTTACCTCATCATGTTACATTATTTTCTCTGTTGACTGTGACATCTGAAGTCATTTTCTAGATAATATGGTGGTGCAATTTATCAGAAGACTGTAAATATTCTGCTAATAAAGCAAAGTACAGAAAATATTAAATTCTAATTTCTTGGAGGGAAAAAAGATGATTTTAAAATGGCATCTTTTATTAGCCATGGTGTATTTGGTAATGTCTTTTATTGCTTTGCTTTGTTTTTGTCTTCATCTTATCACCTTGTGTGAAGCTAAGTTGTAGCTTTGAATTTATGCAAATGCAGGTCACACCTTTTGTGTCACAAATAAACTTCATACAATTACTTCAACCATTTTCAAAGTCTGTGACACTGCTTGTTTTCATATCTCATTCCTACTATTAAAATATTTTAATGGACAAAGTGTAGTCCACTTATCAGTGTTGTTTATTTACTTCATTATTTGCATGGGATGGAGGTGTAGCACCTCTTGCTTCTACAAGAAATGAAAAAACAAAACAGTGATCTTCATTTCTCTACCTCAGTGCAAGAATTTTAAACGTGACTTATATGCTATATGAAGAATTTAGTAATGTGACATAACCTTGTAACTTGTGGTGAGTATATGTGTGGTTTTTAAAGCATGGTACAATTGAGACTTTTTTTAATATTCTGAATTTTAATTAAGTAAATGTAGCCTGCTTTGTGCTGGTATCAGTTGATAATTCCTAAATGTGCACAGGGTACTTATGAAGAACTGTTGTGGTTCTAAGGAGTCATTTTTGCTATATTTGTTGTAATTCCTTGGCTTCCTAGCAGTGCTTGGAAGTGAGGCAGAATGTCATTCTGCTTCTTTTAATTTCACTACTATTTAGTTTGTAGTTGCCTTTGCATTGGTATATCGATAGAATTTAAAACAATAAGGTTCTGCCACAATACATGATTATAAGAAACTGACTTGCAGTTCAGTTTAATGGTACTGAGAATTTAATTGGGGGGGGGGGGGTTTCCCCCATATTTACCAGAAAGTTTATCCATATTCATTAATGGATGAAATGGAATTGAAAAACTGCCATCCCACAAAATCCTTTAAGTAGCACTTGGTGTTACTCTTATTGTGTACACTTCTTTCTACAAGGTGGTTGAAAAGTCATGCAACCCTCTCCTGATGCATGTTCTGTTTGTCAAAAAATAAAATATTATTAAGTGTTTGAAATGACCATCACATTCAGTGATGCATGCATTCACTCTATTCCTCATCTTTGATGCAACCCAGTAAATATTTTCTGTAGTGACAGAAATTGTTTACCAGATCAGGTACCGAGTTTGGCACAGGAAAATTGGGAAATATATCTGTAAACTCATTCTGGAAAGTCAATGAGATGCAAGGTAGTGTTCAACAGTGAATACTCATTGCACTTGTAAAAGATAAATTTCTGAACTTTGTTGAAAGATTACTGATGAACTGGTGCAAGGAGGTTGTAACATGATGTGACCTGTGTGGGCTACTGTATAGTCACAAAAATATTGTGTGTATATTAATAAAACTGTAATGAATTGTAACCATCAATAAATATTTTAATATAGGTTGCATGTTTGTTTGATTAGCCTTTATAATAACACTGCTGGCCAAACGACAGCTGAAAATAAATTAAATTTGGGATTTAACAAGGAAAACACTAAATTATAGAAATATGTAAGCGTAACATCACTATTTGTGTACATTCACTCACTTAATTTTATTTCTGCAGCATGTTTTAAAATCCTTATTTGTTTTAGCTCTGTATATGTGTGAACTAACTCATTTTCAGTTGCAATGTAGTAATGATATTTACTTGTCTACGTCTTAGAACATTTTCATATTACAGATTTGGATATGACTTCAGAAACTGAGAATTTTGGCCATTTCTGCTGTTTGCTGCTGTTCACATTAGTCAGGCCAGGTGCCTGGAGAACTAGATTTATGCCTGTAATTATAGTTTTAAACAGTTTCACAATTCTGCAATAGTTATAGAATATGCTATGTATAATAAACATCTGTAAGGAAATGGTGCTGTTTCTGTCTACACTATGTTGTACACCAAAGTTATAGTCTACTTTAATTTCTTTGTGTATATCTGATTACTACATGTACATTCAAAATTTATGCTTGTGTTTTGTTCAACTCGTGCCCAAACTTTTATCCCATATTTTTGTGACTGGCGTAGATTTGCGACTTATTGTGAACAAAGAACTGTGTAATTAAACGTAGGATTACTGCCACATTTCACTTTTTACTTGCTATTATGTTTTCACGATCAGTACTTGAACAAGCATTAGAAAGAAGCAGTAGCTCTAAAAAATTATTGACTCTTAACATTTTAAAGGAATTGATCTTTTTGGGAGAAAAAAGTCTGACTTCCTTTGAGGTTTGCATTTGAAATTATTTTTCTATTCTCTGAGGTTTCTATATTAAATGATAATGCAGATGAAAACATTGTAACACTATTTTAGTCCAATTGTTGCTAATGTGTCATAGTAACTGATGCCGAGTCTATAAATAAAACACGTGCAATTGGTCTTATGAGTCCTTCATGCTTATCATTTATACCAGGTGGAAGTTTGGCAATGACCCTTGACCAATACACAGAAAATATAGCTAAATTTAGTGTCTATGAGGGCTCATCAGTGTTCATTAAAGACTTTGTGGCATGCATAGAGTATTTTATTAAAAGTACCATGCACCAATGATAGAATGGGATGTATCC